TCCTGCCTATGCAGGGGGTCGGACTCGATGATCTATTGAGGTCCCTTCCGACCCTAGCATCTATGAATCTGTGTTATCTAACCTAGATTTCTGTCATTTCAGTTTAAGCCCCTTGCTGCTTGTCCTGATCCCTGTGAACACAGAGAACAATTTATCCCAGTCCTTCCTACAGAAACCTTTTTTGTATTTTAAGATGTGCAAAAAAGAGCTGGAGTGGCTTGAGAGGGTTTTATACTGTGTTAAGAGCACAGGAAGCCAGGGGCCAAACTAAAACAAAACAGATAATAAAATTTGTCCAAGCTTCACCCACTTGAGACACCAACATGTGACTGTTCACAGTAGGTTGTGCATGCTTTCTGCACTTGAGATTTTCAGTGGGGTTCAAACTTTTATTAGTGCTAAAAATTTAAAGCGCACAAAATTAATGCATCATATGTTAATTAGATTAAGACAGGCTAACTGCTAGATCTCAAAGTAACTGTAGATCAGGAATCATCTTTGCATGGGGGATTTCTTGCAATGTCCGGCAAAGATCTGTTCTTGCCCCTGAGCAATACTGTATCAGTGATCCAGAGCAATGGTGCTCAACCCTTTGGTCCTGTGGGCCAGGTGAGCGGTGCTGATCCGGCAGGCAAGATTGCTCCATGGGCCAGATCCAGTGTGGTGCCAGCACGCAGAGTTGGTCTGTGGGCTCTAGAAGCTGCAGCAATTAATGCTGAAACAGCTCCTCCGACAGAGAGAAAACAAAGCGAGTGGCAAGTCAGCCACTGCTCACAAAAACCGGACAGCTTTTAAGGGGACATTGTAGTTGTAGACATTGAAAATGACACGTACCCAAGCAGTGATGTGGAAAATGAAGAGCATCCAAGGGTCAGAAGAAGAGTTGGACGTGGTTAGAGCAGCGGGCAAATCTGATGATCCTCGTAGCAGTGTTTTTGCTAACTGGAGATGGGAGTACCCAAGTTTTCAGAGCAAACAATGCCAGAGTCCCCTGTATTAATGCAGACTCACCACCAATGCTGAATCTGTTCGATAGAAATGCTGAAATGAATTAGTTGCAGCATGTGTAACAAGTAACTTCTGATGATAGATCTGTGCATACAGATACCAAGTGTGTAACCATGGTGATAAACACTATACAATTAAAAACAGTGTTTTTTCTAAGAACTCTGAATATATAATTACCTGTGGTAGTTTTCATAGAAATCTAACAACGATGTTGATGAGAGTGGTCCTTTGGGGTAACTGGCTGATATTCCTTATCATCCTTCCCCACTGCTTTACCATTGATCGTTGAAGTAGTGGCAGGAACTAAGTGTTGGCTTGGAAAAGATCTCTCCTTGCATTCCATGGAGTTGCTGGGCACAGGGTTGTTGGAAAAAATAGCCCCGAGTTTCTCATAGATTGTATTAAAGAATAGCAGTAAGAGCAGCTGAAGGCAGAGTAGAAAAAAATGGACTTGAAAGGGAGTGAACGACCTTGACACCCAAAAGTATTGTTAGTAGCCTGTACCCAGCTCAGCACCTCTTCTGCACCTACGTGTATTCCTCTCTAGTGCCAGATGAGCATCGCTGTCTCAGAAACGTATTACTATGTGCCCAAAGGACCTGTGCAGTTCACAAGTCAAGCCCAGCAAGCTAGGGCATCTAGAGCAGAAGCTTGATTGGGAGTGACCTCAGGAATTACATTTTGAGTGGGCGTATGTGGCTGTGATTTTTGTATGGGGGGGTGGGGGGGGGAGTGTCTTTTGCACAAATTGTCCTTCCAAACAGTCTTGGATGGCACACTAAGTACCTTACAGACATGGGGGCAAATTCTTTAAGGCACAGATTAACTGGATTGACAGTGTATTTTACGTACATTATGCTACTTGAGGAAAATTCAGCAGTGGGGCTGGAGGAGTTAATTTGGCTTGGATCTCATTTCCAGCTTGGCCTTTACAATCAAAATGCCTTTTCTTCCTAAAATGTAGCTGTTTTCCAGAGGCTCACTTTGAAAGAGTGAAAGAGTGTCCCTGAAACAGATACTGGATAGTAAAATCCCAAGAGGCCGCAGCAGAAGTGTATTTAAATTGACAAAAAGCTGGATGAAGTGGAATGAAAATGGCCTACTGAATTCTCCAGGGGTTCTGGTGAGAGCTCTGGTTGCTTCTGGATGTTAATGAGCATGTAGCAGCAGCCACAGCTCAGACCACTGATAGAGACCCAGCTCGCTGTGCCTAGCGCATGGCTGACAGTGCCAGGGCGCGCACGGTAACTGGGGAGTCTGCTGCACTTCCAGTACTCGCCCAGTCTTCTCTGCTGCCATGTAACTGGCACAGGAGCTGCCCCAGGATAGTTCCTTAATTAGGGATTGTTTCCCAGTTGGAAAAAGAAAGGGATGCAATTGAGCAGGATGCTGCGTTAGGACAGAACAGCAACAGAGACCCTGCCTACTTGCCAGATCTTTGCAAATTGTTTCAAAAACAGGGAAGGGAGGAGTCATTTCCATTTTCAACAGTCTTTTCCAACTAATTACGTGTATTCATTTCTATTCCAGCAGGGCCAAAAGACCCTTATCAAAGATCAGGGCCCCATTATATTAGGCACTATCCAAATGAATAATAAAACATTCCCTCCTCTGGGAAAGGTTTCAGTTTTCCCAATAGATTGCCAGACATTGGGAAAGGTAGTGAAATGATATAAAGTCAGCGCTCCTCTCATCTCATAACATACAGTTCGAAGGATGAGTTGGTAAGCAAATCGTGCGATTGGATATTTTATTGAACAAAGACATCTCCCTCTGGACAGACGGGGAACAGGAGTTTGGACTCGCTGGAAGCCCACCCAGGATGCCTTTTGGGACAGGAGCAGGTTAGGAAAGTGCACGGCTGATCCTGACAGGAGAAGAGCTACATGACCAAGGGCAAAACTTGGGCTATGGTTGTGTTTGCTCTGGTTAAAATAAGAGCTGTTTCAAAACCCAGAGTTGGCAGCATAGCAAACTGAGGTGGCATTTGGACAATGACAGTACTAATGGCCCTAGTTACCTGAGCACCAGACTTGAGACACCCGATGCCTGGCTTTTGAAAGGGTTACTCAGGATGCAGCTGACACCCTTGGGAGCTGTAGAAGGAGCACGGCTTTGAGAATCAAAGGTCCCAAGTTAGAATCCTGCTGCACCACTGACTCACTGTGTAGCCTGGGGCAAATCCCTGCATCTTCCTTTCCACCTTCCTCATCTGTCAAGTGGGGATTACAGTATCCCTAGTTTCCCAGAGGTGTGGTTGCAAGGATTGGTGTCTGTACCTTGCTCTGAATGCACAAAAACGCTAATAAGTGCTCTGACCATCAAATCTTAGGTACCCCACATTGGGGGTTTTCACTGAGGCACAGGAAATTCGTGCAGGGTTTAGATGGGAGGCAATCCTCTATCCTCTCCCAGATTTGGGAGGCAGTCCCCTCAGTGCCTACGAAGGAAAAGAAGTCCTGTCTTGTTCACTGAATGGCATTCGTCCTGCAAATGGAATCACGCAGGTGTTCCGTGGAGAGTTTGATCGTATAACTAGCTGCATCATATGCACAAAGGGGAAGATATAAAATCGTTGAAGCAACTTCACGAGTTTGCGACCAAAAAAACCATTGTTTAAAATGTTGGGTTTTGTATTCTAGGTACGTAATTGCACTGGGAAATTGGGCAAGGTCAGAGAGGAAGAACCTGTGATGCTTGTACACTGCTACAAGAAGCTTCAACAATGAACTGTTGGACTAGAACTTCAGTTGTGACGTGGCGGTGATCCTGGGATGGTGAGGTATTTCCATGGCAGCCTTCCCCCATTGACACTGGCGCACAGGACATACATTCATTTCTTTAATTTTTCTCTCATTTGCTGCTGCTTCCATTTGCCTTATGGTGCTGAGATTTACTGCTCTGCCTTCCTTGGTAAGGGCTGTTCTGAAAGTTTCCCAGGGAAGCCCTCCTTACTCCCACCAGTTATTTCACGTGGGAATCTTTGTGCTGGTATCTGGAAACAACATGCCTCAGATGTCTAATGCTTCCCTCTGATTCTGGTGGAGGTGAGCTGCTGGCTGGGGATTTCTTGGACCTCTTGAGTGGTGAGGAAGACTGCCCGTGCAGTGCCCACAATCTTTCACAGGTTCTTGTTTTTGAGGACGTTCTGTTTCCTGTATAATGTTGTGGTAAATCTCCAGCTCTTGCAGCCCTGCTGTAGCATAGATTATATTGGAGTTGTAAAGACTACTCTCCACCGTGGTTCCAGTGCTGCGTATCTTTGCTTTGCAGGTGTTGTTGAGCTGAATAAATGCGGATATTATTCCCGTCTCTGATGCCGCCGAGCTCTCTCCTGGTAACACGGTGCTGCCCAGGTAGATGGCCTGGTTTGTTTTCTACAATGTTTTTGCCTTCTGGTGCGATACTGCAGTGTCACAGGGCACTGGCGAGACCTCTGAAAGACTGCATACAATTCCAGTTAGTTGAAAGAGGAATTCAGACAGGAACAGGTATAGACGAGGGTTACTGGGAAGCTCTGGGGAATCGAGAGCCTAACAGTTGGGTTTGTTTAATCTAGCGAAACAAAGACAGATGCAGCGTGATGTGATTGTAATTTGTAAATACAGGAAGGAGGTAAACATCATGGCTGGGAAAGAAAACAGTCTAAAATAAAAGACAACGCTGGCACAAGAACGAGTGGAGATTAACGTAGCTGTGAATCATGTAGGCTTGAAATTAGAAGGCTCATAACTATCAGAGGAGTGAGGTTTTGGAAGAGCCTCCCAATAGGAGAAGTGGGGGCAAGAAACCGGACTCGTTTTACGATGGAGCATCAGTGTGTGGATGCGACTACGCGGCGTGGTTCCCTGCAGCAGCAGGAGACTGCTAGGCTCAGCGACCCAGGAGCTGTCGCCCAGTCCCACGTTCCTGTGTCCACGTGCACACACCACGGTAGTGTCTCCTGCTTCCATGGGGAGATTTAGAAACAACCACCATTGCTGGAGGTATTCAACTGAAATGAGTTAATAAAAAAGTGGGGTTTTTTGGCAGGGGGTGGGCAAACCTAATATTTGGACCAAATCTGAACCAACTAATGCTTTTTCAAGAAACCTGTTTAGTTCCTTCCAGCCCTAGTTCTCTACGATCTATGCCAGGGCCCACAGCGTTTTTGGGCAGTGCCAGAAACCCCCGCACGACCCGGACTTGTAAGGTGTCGGGGTGCTGGGATGGACAGCAGGGGACCCGAGGGGCCTGCGCCTGGTCGTGGCAGTGGCAGTGCGGCCCCGGCCCCTTCCCCAGCGTCCGCCCCGAGGCAGGCACGCCGGCTCTGGCACGAGTGTGGGGTTGCCCGCCCCCATTGATGAACTGCTCACCCTCCTTCCGCGAAAAGTCGCACAGATCTGTGCTGGTAGCGTCCGTCCAGGCGTGTGCACGCCACCACCAAGTAACACCTTGCCTGGGTGGTTTCCACGTGCCGTGGGTGTGCTAGGTGTGCGCGCAGAGGAGGGTGCTAGCCGTGCGGACAGGGCGTGCCGCAGCGGGGGCTGCCACCGTGTCTGTC